ATTCCATTTGTTTGAAATTATTTCCAGAGTCATAAAACAATACTGTGGCTAATATAAAACACCCTAGGAACATCTGCCATCTTTCGCTCTTTTTCAATCTCACCAAGAATACGCCTAAGTGATATCAGGAAGGCATACTGAAAATTGGAAGTTCGTCAAGTGATTTTTTCTCGTTAAATTTTGCTTTTGAACAACAGTGGTTAATACTCTTTAAATCCTTTATATCTGTTATCGGCACTTTCGTGTCACGAACAACTTTGGCAATCCAGAATTTACATATGCACATGTCTTAACTGTATCCCGCACTTATGCTAATTTTACATTTTCCTGCCTTCCATTTTGTGGTTGCTATCACGCTACTGTCAACTGCCGTTAGCAGTTGTCCTCCAGTGTGGGGAAAGCTCAGGTACTGGTCTTGCTTCAACCTGTACCACCTCTCTTTTTGATGAATATGGTTAATTTAGATATGACAGGGAATGTAATGACAGTGCAAATTTCTAATACCATTTGCATCTAATGTTGAATAACATAGTGATTCTTGAATTATTTATATATTTCAAATATATGAAAAAGCATAGAAATCTCATAATAATGTCTGATAGTGTATTTGGAATATAACTTTGATTTTTAATCTTTCCTACAGTAAACTTAAATAATTTAAAATAAATAATGAATAACATAAGTTCCTAAAGGAGAAGGGTCCTAATTAAGTTATTAAATCTCAGTAGTAAAAGCCAGTTACAACAAACTACTACTTCTAACATTAGCCACTACTACTATTTCTCATATCTGTTGCATATTATAAAACTACTGTGTACGCTTGTATAGTGTCCGCACTCATGTAATGTCCGCACCCCAACTTTACAGATGAAATTCATGTAAAAAACAAAGTGACTCGCACAATGTCCGCACCCCAAAAACTAAAGAATTTCTTACTTTAAAAAACAATTTTTTTAACAATGCCTTTTCACGTTTAGTCAATAAACATCTTTAAAGAAAGAATATGCATTTATTTTATCTTTGGTCGGCACCGGAATTGAAAGCACAGACTTTCCTTGCATTCTGGTGCAGCTGTTATTCAGTCATAACATTGGCACTAGCAATCCACTCGGCAGACGCAATAATAAATGAAGGAAGTCCAAACTAGTTTTCATCACACTGGCTTCCGGGAAATACTGTTTTGTAATGAAATTACTTTCCCCTTCTTCCTCATTGAAGCATTCGCATATTTCAAACTTTCTCTTTTCTATCATAGTATGATTTGGAATTTGTGGTAGTTAGCAAGTAGTGGACTTGAAATGAGGAAATACAGCAGCTTTTAAATTGAAAATCGTAGAATTTGCTCAGGAAAATGGGAAAAGAACAGCAACAAGAGTATATAAGGTAGATGAAAAGTGTGTGCACAGTTGGAGCAAGCGGCGTGATAAACTGGTGGCAACGGACAAAACAAGGCGGGGGTTTCGTGGTTCGAAATATAAGTTTCCGAACTTGGAAAAAGAAAAGTAGCTGCATATGTTCGTGATGCTGCTTAAGCACAGTAACACGGGAAATGTGCCAAATAAGAGTGCTTGCTGAGGCACAAAAAGAAGACATTCCTACATCGCAATTCAAGGCGAGTGAAGGCTGGGTGTGACGAATGATGAAACAAAATAGATTTTCAAGAACAGATTTTTTTAAAAAATAATGTGTGCAAAATATCAAAAGAACCAGCATTTATTTAATTTGCATAAAAGTAAATATTAAATTCCAAGTGTTGGTTATTATTGTCTATATTGTGCTCCTGTGGAAACTAATACACACTGAGTGTTGGTAGGGTAATTTATGTTATATTTGTGGATGGGAGAAAGTGAGTTTATGAAGTTAGCTATTAGACAACTTTTTTTTTTAAGTAATAAAAGTATCAAATTTAAATTTGATACTTTTATTACTTATGTCATTTTTTTTTTCCACTTAGAACTTAATTTGGCTTTTTGAAATGAAATTTACACCCAAAATTACTCACGAGAAAAAGTGCGACATTTGAACGACCTGTGTAATGGTCGCACCTGCATTTTAATGATGTAATATTAGTGAAAAAGCGTGGACATTACATGAGCGTATACGGTATATGAAGATTATAAATATCTGAAAAATTACAACTGCAAAGAGTATGAATTAATTTGTATTTTCATTGAAGAATAGCTCTCAGCAAACCACTATAGTAATAAAAACTCAGTTATTGTTAATAAAAATAAAATTTTAAAATTTGATATGTAATTAATAATGCAAATTTAATTCATCATGCTTTCATTTGGAGGTGGGAGTAGTTAAAGCTCAACTTTTTAATCCTTAATAGCAATTTTGAGGCAGGTTTCTAAAGAGAAATGAAGGTTTCTGTTATGCACTGAAATAGCAGAAATTAATAATAAGTTAAAAATTTTTGAGAATTATAGCTTTTCAAATTTATTTGGATTTCCTTCAGTGATTTTGATTAAATATTTAATTTTTATAGGTTATATTAGTGCAAATAAAAATTTCATTTTTAGTAAAATCATAAGATGTGCATACATGTGCAATGCTCATAACCTGCCATCAGAATACGAGCATCAGGGTCTTAATCTGAAGGATATATATATATGAAACACTTTTATATAAAAAGATTCATTTTTTATATTACAAGGCATTAAAGTATAAAATTAAAAAGAGATGTTGATTAAAATTTTTGCTAAACAGAGAGGAAGGAGAAGCTTGACTGGAATAAGCAAAGGATTGGAAGAAACTGAAGTACTTTTATTCATTCGTAGAGCAGAATCAGTAAACTCTCTATTCTCCCATGAACATAATATTTAATCACAAACAACATGTAAATTGAACTTTAGTAATTGTATTATATTACCTCATAAACAATTATTGTAAACAAATATTTTCACCCCACAGAGCAGAGAAGCTCAGTGCTGCCATCTATTCGGGAGGTACTTTCATGGTTTTTTAACAGTCAACTTTTGATCATCAGTTTTTATTGAAATGAAGTAAATATATAAGGGTTCAACATGTGTATGTCATATATTTGCAGGTTTTGAATTTTTTGCACCTTCTAATATATGAATCTTAAAACATGAGACCTTTGAACAGTATAACCCACAGAGCAGAGAAGCCCAATGCTGTCATCTATTGGTGAGGTACCCTCAGTATGGGCACTGGTATAATTTATATATTAGTTTTAAAATCATTTAAACAATCAACTTTTAACTATCAGTTTTGATTGAAATGCAGTAAATATATAAGATTCAGCATGCATGTAGCATATATCAGCAGATTTTGAATTCCCCCCTCTAATACAATTTAGGAAACTTCAAACACAAGACCTTTGTGTGAGGTACATTAATTTGATAACTGCAAAATATTGAGCATTCATAGGGTAATGTTGCAAAAAGTCAGGGGGAAACATTAGAATTTCAAGATAACAGTTTTGGGGGTTAAGAAAGTAAGCATTTTTTTACAAGGTTAAAAAATTGACAAACATCCGCTGTATTTATACCAGTTCCCATGAAAGGAATGAGCATAGAACTGGTTGCATGGGCATTGAGGGGTTTTTTCTTTTTCTGTTACTAATTTTTTTTTTTTTTTTTTTTTTTGTCACACATACTGATGCAACATGAAATAGTCATTTAATCTCCCAATATTTTAGATACTTTTGAACTCTGAGTTTTAAAGAACTACTATATATGTTGAGGCAATGCAGGATAGTACAGACCTATTTCATCAGCATTATAAATGTTTTCAGGAAAGTACTTCATAGGCAGTTTACACCATTCATTTGAAAGCCATGTTCTCGCTGCAGGTTAAATTGGTATCTTCTCCCCCCCCACTACATTTCTGTTGGTTGATCCAGCCAATAGAAATGTTGCTGGAAAATTATTTTTTCTTGTTTAAGTTAATTCTTGAGCTTTCTGCTTCATCAGTGCATCACTGATTGTCACATCTTTTACAAGTGCTTTGGTAAACTAAACCCTTAGTGCTTTCTCATTATTGTAATTTTCCGCATTACATATTCATTCACGGTTTAACTTTAATTTTATTTTGATTTTCAAAAAATATCTTCATAGTTCTTAATAATCTTGTATCAGAGGGGTTAAGAAATATTTAACTTTATGGAACCATTCCGTTGACTGATTTTTGGGAGTAGGTCATAGTGATCTGATATATCAGCTTAGATCTTTATATTATATTCCTTAGATCTTTGTACCTTTTATTAGTCTCCATAATTTTAAAATGATCAAAAGAGAGTAAAAGTGATTATAAATGGTAAAAGTAAGTAAAAGGGGTTAAATATAATAAAAAATGAGCACTTCCTAAACAGAACTTTTATAAAAATATAAATCACAAAACACAGAGAAGAAACTTTTTTTTTTAGTTCTTAAATGCAAGGCATGCTTCTAAGAATAGGGACATGTATCTGATCGCCCTCAAAATCATTAGAGTTATTCAAAATCTATGCCAAACTAAAACTAATTTTTAATGGTTCACTAATACCAAAACTAAGCTGTTTGGCAACTTAATCCCATATTTGGCAATATTTCTGTGTCATTTGGTAATTTTTATGATCTGTTTTGATTTTATTTGATGACTTTAATTCAGTGTAAAAAAAATCATTGTACTATAATGTTTTGAATTTATTAACTGATGATCACAATAAGCAATCTCTTTTTCCTATTTTCATATGTGAATGCGCATAGTAACACTATGGTACTTTTCAGGATCATTGTTAACTTTTATTTTGCAATAAAAATACATCTAAGCATAGTTATTTCAAAACTATTTTCAAAACATTATTTTTAGATGATTTATATTTATTTGCGAATTAACTTTGAATAACAGTAAATATGAATTCTAGGAAATTTGAGCAGATCCTTCTGCAAATTTCATCTCTGTGCTGAAATATGTTTGAATACAAAGATAAGAGAATAATTAATGTAACAAGTATCACTGAAAATATATATATATCCTTTTTTTTTTTTTTTTCTAATGTAGGGAAAATTTGTGCAACATATGGGGCGAAATATGAACAGCAAAATAGCATTATGTCCAGAAGAATGTATCTTTCTGCTAGAAAATGTAAGTATTTTTATGAGAAAAAATTATGATCCTTTCTTTTCTGATGTAATCATATCTATTATTAAATTGTGAAGAATATGTAAGTATGTATATTCCCTGCATTGCGAAATAACGGCAGTTCCAAAGAGCCATCAAATTTTGAACACTCAGTTCTGCACTCGAACAGCCTGAATTTTGAATTTCAATTTTTATTTATTTCATATTTCGTCCAAATTTAATTAACTTTTGATTAAAAACTGTGATATAAAAGCTTAAAGCTTGACTCTGCAAAAAGATATGTTTCAGATTTAATCATCAAACTTAGTTATTTAAAACAAATGTGTTGCCACTGCCCAAATTAAAATATTGTTATCTTCCATGTGCCAGAGTACTGCTATTCACAAAGTGCTAAGATGTTTAATTTTTCGTATAGTCTTACTCTGTTATTGATTAACAAAACTCAGCAATTTCAAAGTAATAAAGGCAATTCTTTATTTCTATAATTATTAATTACTGCCAAATTCATTAAAATTATTATATATTTTTTTCTTTTTATAATAACTGCTTCTGGTGGCTAGCCGTGCAATTTGCTAGTTAGAGACATATTTGTGGCAGAAATATTAGGTATGATTTTTTTTCACCTTGTTTTAACAGGGATTCCTGGAAATCAAGCGTAATGAAATGCCAATGAGTACTGAAGAAGCCTATGCGATGATACTTAAAGGAAGGTGTGAAAAATACCAAGTATATTCCTTTCTCTCCCAGTTGGGTTTTTTAGTTGTACCCCATCAAACGCAGTAAGTTGCATATATTTTATTATTATTAACATAAATTATAACACAAGGAGGAAAAATGTCTTATTTTTCCAGAAATAATTCAGATATGTAGTTAATTTTTCTCGTTTTTTTAAAGCTTAAAGTTATTCAACTCTTTTTAGTATAATTGCTGCCAGCATCAGAGCATTTCTTCAGAAAGTGAAACCATTACTGTTATTACTTCTAACCAAGATGTTCTTTTTATATAGAGCCTTAGAAATCAGTTTGGCTCAAGCATTATCAGGGTTTGTACGGTCTTTAAGAGTTCTTAAAAGTCCTTAGTTTTTTTTGGAATCGATTTTTAGTCCTTAAAAGTCTTTAATTTCGGCCAAAATTGGCAGAAGGTCCTTAATTTTAATCATCTGAAATTTCTGTCTGTTTTTATGGGTTCGTGGGTTATAATTTGTTCCTATTTCCAGTATAAATGGTGGGATACTCGAGTTTCTGAGTAAGAATGAAACATAAATAAGCATTTTGAAATTATTTCATTTTTTCTAATCTCTTGACTTTTCACTAGACACAATATGGAAAATATCAAAAATGCTTCTAATCTTATCATATGAACATTTTTTATTAATAAAGAAATTGAAAACCAACAATTTAAAAGATTCATCGTACATATCTTAATGCATCATACACAGGGCTGGCGCTAGGCATTTGCCACCTGATGCAATCTCTGTAGATCCTAAATTCTGCTGTCTGGTGCCTTTCTAAATTCTGTTTCCAATGCCTGTTCTAAATTTCAAAAGTTTTCCATTTCTAGATTTTGTTGCTCGGTGTGTCACTAAATTCTAAAAATTATGCCGCACCAGCACTGTAACCAGACCTCACCATATATATTTCATATTAATAAAGAAATGAGCAGTTTTTTATATACATTCTAAATGCATTTAACTTTTTTAGAATAACGCAAATCTTTAATTAAATCAAAAAATTCTAAAATGAAAAGGAAACGTGGAAGAATGAAACTGAATTCATAAAGGGAAAGAAAATTATTCTTCAAGGATATGTACAGTTATTATTATGTAAATTACTCAGTTGTTTATTTCAGCCTTTACTATAATTTCCCATTTCTATTTCCTAACTAGAATGCAAATCACATAGACAGTTTTTAAACTGAGGTTTTGGGAGTGCAAGACAAGAATGTGCTTTTGACCTCCACTTGCTCCCTACATTACTTCCTGCCAGCTCTGATAATTTATATTTATTCATCTTTGCATTACCGCTGCCGACATTTGAATTTGTTATGACAACAGAGTTACTGAGCCAGCTTAAATTAAAATTAAATTGTATTATAAGGTATTTCTCCAGTCTTCTTAGCATGCCTTTGTAGTGTAGTGGTCAGCACGCTGGGGGCATATTCAGAGGCCCGTGGTTCGAGTCCCAATGAGGGCATTGCTCATTTTTCATCCCTCTTGCTTACCTAATGTCTCTACCGTATAGTCTTTGACCACTAGTCCACATTTTTAGTTTGAAATTGACTCCTCTTGTTTACTTGCATCACCATGAGCTGTAATTGATTTTGTTAGCATAAGAACCTGCCTTTATGTTTTAAGTCTTTTTCAAATAAGAGACTTATTTGAACCTTTGTAGTTACTTTCAGTCATAGCGATGATTTGCTTCATATCTGTCAAGGGGGTTGAAACTTAACTTTTACTAGATCAAGTAAACTGTCATAGGTGCACTTGGAGAGGTTGACAAGTTAGGACATAGAGTATGCAGAAACTAGTGACAATATTTGTTTGCGTATTGACACAAATTTCTAATTGTTAGAAAAGATGCTTAACATGTTGAGTGCCACGCGTATTTCTTAGGCAATCCTGTTCAGGCCACATGCGCTGCTTAAAAGTGCTGGTATTGTAGGGTCAGGAGTAATGGCCAGAATAAAGACTAAGAGAGTTGTCATATTTGTAACAGCAGTAATGGAGAACCGTTTTTATATTTACCGTGTTTCAATGAAATCCATTAATCCTGTAATGAATCAAAATTAAGTAAATTTTAAATAAATTTTCAGCGGCGGTCGACGCAACCTAAATGTAAAGTCGAGTGTCACAGATGGCTGACGTGGCCTAAATAGAAAGTCGAGTGTCAGCCACAGATGGCTGAAGCGGCCTATACGGAAAGTCTAGTGTCAGCCACAAATGGCTGACGTGGCACTCAACGTGTTAAAGAGAAGGAAATCAATATAAATTAGCCAAAATATCTGGGAAGGCCTCAAATTAAAAAGATGCATAATATTTTGTTGAGTGCAGTTGCTATAAAAGATAAATGTTTTGTAGCTTTAAATGTGTAATTTTCCTCTATCGTTTAAGAATTAATGTCATAAATTACATATATTTTAATTGTGAAATTTTATTAGACTGTGATTTTAACAGGGCTTTTTTAACAGATATTGTTAAAAAATGAATAAAATTTATTTAATAGTGACCATGGAAATCCATAATGACTAAGGTTATCTAACTACCTAATTTAATTACTTGTAATTAACTGCTTAGCCTTAAAAATTATCTCTGCATATTTAAGCGAGATATTGCCTTTCATTAATCCTTACCGTGGTCACAAGATAAAACACAAAAATTAAAAAATTGATGTAAAATTTATTTTTCATCAATGTAAAACTTATTATAAAACATCTAGTGAGACTTAAAATAATACAAAACAACTTATCACCTGTAGTGCTTTAGTGGCTTATTGGAACCTTAAAATATATTAACTGGGTTAAAACCTTTGGAACTATATATGAAGCTACGACACTAACTGCGTCAGACAGACCCAGACTAACTTTCAAAACCTCCCCAACCGTGCCTACATCAGGCCTTTCAGGTTTGCTCTGATCAGCGGGTCTGTGCCTATGGAAGTAGCAGCAGTGACAACAGCCAGTCTTTTGTTATGAATAATGCTGATTATGATTTCACTTTTTATTTTAACCTATGCTGCTTGAAATAAAATCTACCATCTATTTACTAAACCTCTAGATTGAGTATGTGACAAAATGAGACATAAAAAAAAAAAAAAAAAAAAATCACCATAAAGCTAACTGTTAATAAAATGTAAATAAAATGTCTCTTTTCTTCTTTTAAAGGTGCCCAACTATTATAAATGTAAAATATTTAACACTACTTGATAAATTTCATAAAGTTTATTTTATTCTCAAACTTATTAATAATTATGTTACTTAATTTCCGTGTGTAGAAATGTGTACGAACTCTGTTTATGTTTTTCTTCTGACTTGACACTGGCCGACTTCTGGATTATTTGTGCTATAACTTGTTCTTAAAAAGTAAGATGATAATTTAGGGCAATCCAGAAATACCTACCATATTTACTTTAAAATAAAACCCACTTTATATTTTGGGATAAATTTTAAGAAAACAAAATGTACGTGAAGATTTATTTTGTCTTGGGCTAATTTTGAAAAAAAAAAAAAAAAATGCTAGTTTTTTTTTTCCCTCTCTTTTGTCAGAATTCGTTTGAAGTAATGTTAGCTGGGACCCAAGAACATTGTTAGTGATGCATTGTTATTTTATTCGTTTTCAGACATACCATTGGTCAGTAAAGTTGATGCATGCCGAACTTGAAATAGCTTAGTTAGACATAGTTATTTATAACAAAAATCAGCATTATATTTTCAAATTTTTACAGGACTAGTTTCGACGGTTTTACCAAACTGTCATCTTCGCCTGCAAAAGCGCAAATGAACGAGATAAGATATAGCGATCTTATTTAATCACCATATCTTATCTCGTTCATTAGCACTTTTGCAGCCGAGGATGATGGTTTGGTAAAACCGTCGAAACTAGCCCTGTAAAAATTTGAAAATATAAATCTGTTTTTTGTTGTTTGACTTCTAAATTAATACTTTTTCAGCTTGTTATTGTATCTTAATTAAACCAAAACCTATTGAACTTTACCTGACTAAATTCTAAGCAACACATTGTTACGTTTTTCTTTTCTGACACCAGTTGTTGCATTATTTTCTTCCTTCACGTTCGTACAAGGGCTCGTAGATTTGGAGTGAATAACGGCGACACTTGATGAAATATCAAAACACACTTTATTATTTAACATAATTAACCAGGACAGCTCCAAAACATGTTTTTACAGTCGTCAATGAACTACTATAAACACGCTGACACGATCAGCGACACATTCTCTAGGTTATCAGGCTATCACGGTGGAGACAGCTTCACGGCAAAGCACTACAGTACAGCTCCTGACTCTACTTGGTCGTTCTCGGAACTCCACGTACTCTCGAAACTCTCCACGCTACAACTTGTGATGCACTCAACGACACACAGAGCACAGCTTCCGACTCTTCGGTTCAGTCGTTCCCGGAGCTCAACACGTTCTCTCGACGATGCACTAACAGCGATACACTACGAGAATCTTTCCGTGCACTCGGCGACCCACTCGGCACTCGTTGCCCCGCTGTCAACTCGATTGACTCGCTAGACGAGACACCAACTCGATACTAACTCACTGATACGCAGTCGCCTGGACCTCCGACCTAAGGTTCTACACCAATCAGAGTTACATGTCCATGCGACAGAAAAGAATCTACCATCCACCGCCAACAGCATTCACTGAATCAATGATAGTAATATTACAATGCTAAATTGACAATGTCACCTATACAATAATTGTTACATAATAATCCGTATGAAAAATAAATATGCGATCAATTAATATTTACATTGTCATGGATAGGATCTATGTTGTGGAGAGTGGAACTTATATATTAACCAGTTTTTAAACCTATGTCTTCTTCAATACGTTATAACTTCATGTTCTTATCAGTTAAACACCTAATGATGTGTGTCCGTATTATTTTTTCAGTTATATACAGAGTAAGCTAGTCACATCAGTTCAGGCAGTTGATAGTTCCATAGCCCAAAGTATATGATGTTGTGTAGGCTATTGTATGTTCACTTTTGTTGAGTTCATCGTTCAAGTAAATACTACTTGTCCACTTCGATACATCA